ACACGGATAATTATTGATGTCATCCAATATCACTTATCAAAACCCATTTCGTCCATAATCAAACTCCCCAAATAATAGATTCAAGAAAATCTCTTCATCACCAGTATCGCGAGAGCTGTAGTCTATTGATATCATTACTGAAAATTCTATGAAACATTTCAGGACAAATGAGAGTTTTCAAGAGATCCTCAAATCATCAACCAGATTACTCACCTTCAACACCCAAAATCGCGAGATAAGTTGTTTCCGTTTTCAAGAAGTAATCTTCAGCAGTAAATGGCTCGCCCGAGGTTGCTCAAGAATTTAAAAGATCCTTCGAAGTTGTTGATGAACAATAATATGTAATATCATATTCGAATCCGCTTAATCCATGCAAAATAATAAATTATCACGAAGGATGTAGAATATTATCCCGGCAGTCGAAGTTTTCAAAAGATGGTAGATTGCAGTTGAATGACGATGAATTTTCATACATTCAAAATTGTATGATATGGTTAAAAGATTGTTTTTCAATCATCGTAAATGCACTAGGTGAGTAATTGTCATCCTTGATTTAAGAACATTGAATAACGTCAGTTACATCTTTCAATTTAGGAAAATTCGTTTGACAATAGAAATAAGTATTAAAATATGTAAAGTGTAGTATTTTATTGTAAAATCTGAAATATTATATCTTCTATATATTAAAAATGGCTATCTAACGGAATTTCTTGTTTTTTAACGGAAAAACTAACGGAATTTGTTGTTTTAACGGACTATGTAACGGAATTTCTTGTTTTAAACAGGTAGCTGTACCTTCTTTCAGTATTTTTATCATAACTTTGTGTTCCGATATCCGATTGAGGCAATTCAAAATGCATTGGAAAGCTAACTCATATGTCTACAACTTTGATTCGGACATCATTCTTCAATTCGATCACTTTCTATGCCAAAAATAAGTCTCAATATGGGACTAAAATTTCGGAGCATAACTTTTCGGTTGGAAATTGATTTGTGATCATCTTTTGACTAAATTTGATTTAATTGACGTCTTCCTTTATCCAATTGACTCCGAACATTCTCAAATCTTTATCGTGAGGTTCGGCACAACTTTTACATATTTACATTTTAGTCCCCGAACTTTGGATCCCTTACAATTTAGCAATTTCTCCAAATTTGCCAATTTTTGCTTATTTTCTTCGATCTCACCAACTTACATCACAACATCAAAATCACACATCTAATTATTTATC